GGGAAATCTTTTTCACCAGACAAAAGACTATATATATATATATATATATATATATACACACACACACACAGTATAAGTTTTAAACAAACAATTTAATACTGGTACACAGTGATGATGATTGTGAAGCTTGGTTGAGGTGGAGGAGTCAGAGGGTGGGATATTTCCCTTACTGCTAAATGATGAACTAGCAATTGGCTGAGCCCTCAAGGGTTAACTCTCTCACTACAAGGCAGCAGGAATGGAGGGAGGGGGTATGTGTGTGTGAGAGAGAGAGATGCGCATTTCCCCTTTAAGTACACTGCCTTGTTAATTAGATCAGCTTGCTGAGACCAGCTGCTGCAAGCTCCCTCCGTCCTGAGCCCTGGTGTGTCCCCCCTGCTCTATGGAAGATGGGGTAAGCAAGGTGCAGGGGAGAGGGAGACACCCTGACATTAGCCCGCCCTCTTCGTTCCCTCCAAGGCAGAGGGCAGGAGCAGCACATGGCAGTGCGGGGAGGGACAGCTGCAATTGCTAGCCTGCTGGGTGGCTGCAGCACAGGGAACTTAGGGGAGCCAGGAGCTGATAGGGGGAGCTGCTGGTCCACCCTAGTTCCAAGCTCCCACCAGCTAGCTGCAACGGGCTGCTCTTCCTGCAAGCAGTAGACAAAGCAGGCGGCTGCTAAACGACGTTAGAAGGGAGCATTACACAACTTTAAACAAGCATGTTCCCTAATTGATCAACAACGAAACAATATTAAACGTTAACAATTTTAAGTGAGGAGTTACATATTCTTCCCTGGGCCCCAATCCTAAATGGTATTTAGGCATCTAAATAACTTTGAGGATCTAGGCCCTGAAGCTCTTAAAGAAGGAAATTTAGAATGGGCTATTTTTATGCAATGAGGGATCCAATAATAGATTTTTTTTTTCAGTTAAATTATTGTTGATTTGCATATCAGGATCTTGACTTTAGTTTGGCAGCAACATTAAGTGAAGGTGCTGGGGATGGAGCAGAGCTACCTTCAAACTAACCATTCTTCCTTTTGTTACCACTCGGATTAAACACATGACCTTTTCCCCCTCTCTTTGCCTCTGCAGTCCCCCTTCATTTGCAATAACTTTCAGCTTCTCTTCTTTTTTTATTTCTTTCCATTTCTATTGAAACTGCTCTGCTGCCCATATGCCAGCTGTTTTTCACTGCTTTTTCAATGTGTCTCTTTCCATCCTTAATCAGCAGTTTCAGGATTGGGTGGGTGTGACAGAACGTACCCCTGTGTCCACACAATACACGCTGTTGTAATAATCTTTGTATAAAGTATGCCTTGTGAGGTATCATCTGAAAACTCATAATTTGCTGGTCCATATTGTCCTGATAAAATGTGTGTGGCAACATTGTATGTGAAGTTATAAGATTTCCCTGTATAGTGTTATTAACATGTTCCAAACCTGGCAAACAGACCTGTCTCAAACAAAGGAATTTGTGTTCTGCTTAATTTGCATTTAAGTAGCAAACAGCATCATCAGGCAGGAAGGGTAGACAAAGAAACCTCAGACAGGTGAGGAAAAGCGGCAGGGAACATCCTTCTCCATAGACTGTCTGTGTCTTGAATCTCAGCCGGAAATGTTTTCCAAGAGGGGGACTGACACTATAAAAAGAAGGAACAAACACTCCAATGTGCCCTCCCTCTCTCTTTCTGTCCATTGATTCACTGCAACAGAACAGATAAAGAAAGCAGCCACTGAACTGCAGAAGGGGTCCTGAGATAAGAAGTTTAGTTAATAAGACTGTTGAGAACATGTGGTGAGAAAACTTTGCTTTGAATTTAACATAGTTTGTTAAGTTGGGCACCAGTTGCATTTTATCTTTATTTTTTTAACCATTTCTGACTTTTAGTTCTCATTACTTGTAGTCCCTTAAAGCCTATCTCTTTGTACTTAATAAACTTGTTTTATCTAATGCAGTGTGTTTAAACTGAAGTGTTTGGGAAATTCTGTTTGGAGCGTCAAGTATGTGCATATTATTTCAATTAAAGCAATATCAGACATACATATACTTGAATTGTCCAGGAGAGGGCTGGGCAGTACAGGACATAAATTTCTTGGGGAGGGAGGGGGAAATCTAAGAGTGAGTTGGGGTCACCCTGCAGTATAACTGAGGTTGGTATGAGCCAAGGTATGGTTGGCTAGCTGCAGCACACACAGACACATAGCTGGGAGTAATTTGCCTGCTGGAAGCTGTTTATAAGCAGTCCAGACTGGGCTAAAGCAGCAAAGCATTATAAAGGGTACCCCAGGTTAGAGAGCAGGGATGACACAGCTACTCATTAGTCTGGATTGAACATTGGTATGTCACAGTGGGGGAGTTTCTAATGCCCAGGGTTTTAAGTACTGACAGTTGGGGCTGATCCTGTAAACTCTCTACATACAGGAAAATGTAGGTAAATACCCACTATGTTTGTAACATTGAGCTCATTGGCCCCTGCCATCTCCATGGTGCAAATGACCCAAATGTTTTTTTCCCCTCGCTCTAGTAATTTATTATTATTTATATTACACTAATGCCTAGCGGTGTCCTATCCACTAGTCCATGTTGCCTCTTATTGCGTTTATCGTAAAAATGGTCAGTGGCTTATGCTAAAGAAGACCTTTTAAACCCTATTCAAATACCATTTCTGCAGTTGGATTATGTTTTTTTACAATATTTTTCTGCGTGACTCCACCTATAGTGTGCAAAAGCAATTCTAAATGCAGAATGTCATATTCGTATTGGGGCATAATAATAGTTTACGAAGATAAATACAATCCAAGACTGATGGCTAAATTATTCTGCTGTACATTTTGTTTACAAATTATACTGTATATCTACACAGAAAAGAGCATGGGGCCTGATTTTTAGAAGTGCTGAACATTCACAACTCCCTAGTCCCTTCCTGTCTACAAAAAGTACAAATGGCCTAGCAGCTCAGATATCCTCATCCCATTCCTATCACCCTGTACAGAAAAGGGCTGATCAGCTTCAAGATAGTCCTACTGGTTTGTTAAGAAGATGGAGTATCTGTGCTGTATTCTTTTAATTGAATAGTCAGTTTTACTCCGCTTCCTATTTTATTGGGGGAACACAGCATAAGAAGTGCTAGGGCAAGAAGGAGAAGGAAAAGGAGAATCTTTGGGTCATTCACATCTTTTGGGTGAGGAAGCCGCATGAAAAAAAGGAGATGAGAGAGTAGCATGCTCATGATTACCGAGGTCTACAAGTCTCCCTTTGTAAAGTACCTTTCTGTGTCTCAGTTTCCCTATGTAATAATGGGGATACTAATTACCTATCTTGCAGGAGTAAAATTAAGATTAATTAGTGAATGTATGTACAGTGGTTTGTAAATTAAAAGTGAAAAGTATTACTGTACTGTAGGTCGGTAGCATTGTAATGAGAAGATTCAGAATTCATAAACGTTAAATTTTACTTTCCCTCTGCTTTCTTGGATGTGTTTTCAAAAAGACCATCATGCAATATGTCTTATTTATTTATACTAGAATCAGCCATATAGTTCCAGATTGAGAAAGAGCTTTTGGTAAAATAAAATGGAGTTATCATAGAATCATAGATTATTAGGGTTGGAAGGGACCTCAGGAGATCATCTAGTCCAACCCCCTGCTCAAAGCAGGATCAATCCCCAACTAAATCCCCAAATGGCCCCCTCAAGGATTGAACTCACAACCCTGGGTTTAGCAGGCCAACGCTCAAACCACTGAGCTATCCCTCCCCCTATGCATGTCTGAAATCCTCATCTGATGTACCTTTAGAAAATACATCTGTATGACAAGTTTTCTCATGTTTGTAACATTAGTCTCTACTGTATTTGTATCTCATGCCTCTGTTAGAATGAAAACTATAACTATTGATACAATATTTTTCCAATACCTTTGGAAAAGACGTTAGATACTTATTTCAGTTGTTTATGGTGGTGTTGCATAGAAGTTGACATGCATCATAGGTTTATAGTGGCTAGAAAGCAAAACATTTTATTGAAAATATTGAATTTTAGGGACATTGGGGAACTTACTGATTATGTGATCAGATAGCAACAAAACTTCCATGCCATTAACAAAAATTTAGACTCTGCAACAACAACAAAAACCAAAAGTTTTCCTGCAGTCTCTCAAAGGGCAGGGCTATTAAGGTAAGAAATTTAGCCCCACTTTGACATTAATTACAGGTACCAACAGCATTGAAGGGGCTGAACTTTTCAATTCATTATTGATACCAATTTATTTGGCTGCTTAATTTGTTTCTCATAGTATGTGTGATGATATCTGCAAGGAAGTTTATATCTCCAGTAGCCATTCTGGAGAGCAACCACTTTATAGTATCCCCTTCTGGTTTCCAGTACAATGTTGGTTCTACCTTTAAGCAAAGGCTGTCTCTGTCAGGTAACTGCTTCTTGGACTGGTCACTTACATAATGTTTTTTTTCCCTACATTTTATGTCGTATTAATGATTTATTATGAATCAATATTAAAATTTAACTGCTTTTACAGTACTCCAAGAACCTCAGTCAGCAGGCAGAGATTACCACCTGTTCTAGTATTTTTGAATTTAACAGGGTTGACGGTGAGAAAGCTGATGGGTCCCAAAATTATCTTGAAGCCATGAAACTTAAGTAGGTGTTTTAAGCGCTTTGCTAAATCAGGGCCATTGTCATGAAGTGGTGTTGTGATCGGATGGAATACAATGCTGTCTGGATGTGATGTACTCCGGTCAGAACATCACAATGTTGTGTTGTGGCAGGACGAGGTATGGCCTCAGAACGCTGTGGTATGGGTGTCCCCATCTTTCCCCCTCTGTGCCCCCTCCCTGCCTGGGGACCCCCCCCCCCGCGCTGTGCCCCTTCACTTCTCAGCCTACAAGGCCCAGCAGCAACGGACGCTTCCCCTCAGCCCGACCCAGGACAGGCGGAGTCGGACTCTCCAGCCCCCGCTCCGCCCCCTCAGACAGGCGGGCGCTGAGGAGGAAGGGGAGGGAGGGAGGCCGCTGGGATCCCGGGCTCACATGACCGCTGGCGAGATGGACGGGGAGGTGCCCGCAGGCTCGGGGGGAGCCGGCACAGGTACGGAACAGGGGGGGCCTGTGAGGGCTGCTTCGCCCCGGGAGCCGGGGCTGTCTCTCCCCCCCCCCCCGCCACCACCACTGCCACCCACGGGAGCAGGGCGCAGGAGGAGGGGGTGTCAGGGTCTGTCTTCCCCACCACCACC